TTAAAGTGTATTTTGAGGTTAAAATAAAAACTAGAGAAACTCTGTGGTCATTCACATTTTGAATGTCAGCTTTTTTCATTAGTATTCTATTGATACTCGTGATTATCTGCACTTAGAAATGGCTGGAGTTGGTGAGTGATCAGATAGACATCTAGCTGATATAGGAGTCTGATGGCTGCATTAATTAACCTTCAAATCGTTATTACGTGACTCAATCTAATGCGCCAAGTAATCTCTTTTGATATGAAAATCTCTTCAACACAATTACAGGGCCTTGGGAGCAATTTACTACGCAAAGAAAATCTCACACGGGCAAGAACATTCTTCTTCAAATAATAGAAAGAACAAACTTAAAACTAACTGGCATTTTATTTCCATTAAATATCTTGACAAAACTGGCACTAATTTTGAAACAAATGAAATCAAATCAGATATAACAGAAATGCTGGGCAGACCCATCTCTATTGCTATACTGGGGTTCCATTAAGATACTAAACTTCTGGAAAGTGGATCTCTGAAGTTCAAGGCCAGCCTGAACTACAATGCGGGTTCCAGGACAGCCAGGGCTACACAGAGAAACCCTGTCTCCAAGAACCAAACCCTAGATAAATAAATAAATAATTGATACTAACCTTTCTAAGTCATTTGTTGCCTTTAAAAATAATTTTTTAAAAAAGTAACAAAATGTCAGACCACACTATCTTTCAAGCACCTGTGTAGTGGTATTTGCTCCACCCATGACCCTGGGCTACACAGCCCAAAGAAGGCGGTGCTTAGTGTGGTTTTTAAGTCACCTCTGAGAAGGAGCTGGAGAAAGGACACAGGCCCCTTCTCCAGGCTCCTGGCTTCGAGGTGGATTCACTCAGATCAGAGGACGACTTCAGCTGTCTACTCCGTTCTGTAATCATGAGTGTATTTCCTCAATTTATATCTTAATAAATTCTGTTACCCATTTAATAGACTCATGTGGATTGATCTTAAGATACCCGGGTAAATATGAGTCACTGAGTAAGTGTGTAAGATCCACAGTGATATCCAGGCACAGTAGCACACACTACAGAGAGCTATGAGCTCAAGGCCAGCCTAGGCTTCATGATGAGACCCTGAGTACACACACACACACACACACACACACACACACACACACACACAGAGTAACTGCTAACTCAGATTCTCCTGGGGGTTGGGGGGAGCGATATCTGGGGCAACAGACTCAAAGGCTGAAAGAGACATGGGCTCTCTCTCATTTTGTTTACTACCTTGTTTCCAGCCCAACCACAGGACTGCAACACAGTAGATGCTCGGCTAACACTATAAAGCAAGAAACCAGGAACATGCCACACAAAGAACAGGGCTCCTGACTCTGGCACTCTGGGCTTACTGCTCATAGCAAGCCTACAGAGAAGAGCGAGTGTATACTTTCTACAAATTTTTTTTAACGTCCAAGACTAATTAAGGAAGAGACTCTTCATCTACTTCTACATCCAGTCAGTTTCATAGTATGGAGCCTTCTGAAAACTCACATTCCCAGGAATAGATAAGGATGGAAAACAAACCATGTTTTAATATTGTTATTAAAATAAAGCCAACCTCATCAACCTCCAAAAGTCTGAGCAGTTCCTGGAATCCCTGCAAGACATTGTTAAGGGTAGAAATGCTAAAAGCCATACTTGGAGCAACATTTAGAAAAGATACTCAAACAATGGATGGGGTGGGATGAGAAAAGAGAAAGGAAACCATCCTGCATGCAATGCCACTTAGAACAAAGCCAAGACATCTGGTCAGCGTAATGACTCTTGAGCTATCATTCTTCATCCTTCAGCACCTATTTCCCTCATCCATTAACATTGCAGGAATTGCTGTTTGAAGAAAAGAAAAACCAATGCTTCCTCTGACAAGACAGAGCCCAGAACAAAGACCACACAGGCAGCTGATCTGAGTGCTCAGGAGGCAGAGGCAGGTGAATCTCTGGTCTACAGAGCTCAAGGACAGTCAGAGCCACAAAGAGAAACTCTGTCTCAAACAACAACAACAAAACAGACCAAGGGAGGAAAAAGACAGCCGGTGTAGCTTGGTAGTAGAGTACTTACATAGCATGCACCTGAGAACAAGGCCCTGAGTTCAATCCTCAGGACCCCACCCACCCCAGCCTACAACACACAATCACAAATTTTCCTTCACAAACACAAGAAAAAACATTTGTTATTGTGATTTTTCTGAGAAATATTTGGCCTTCTAGTCGTATTTAAATTCACACATTATTCCTAAATATATATCTCAAACCTTACAAGTTTATATTAACTAACCCACATCCCCCTGGTGAGCAGATAGCCTATACTGGAATCCTGAAACTGCCATTTAGACTATATTTGTCTGGGCTGGAGAGATGGCTCAGCGGTTAAGAGCACTGGCTGCTCTTCCAGAGGTCCTGAGTTCAATTCCCAGCAACCATATGGTGGCTCACAACCACCTGTAATGAGATCTGGTACCCTCTTCTGGCCTGCAGGGATTCATGCAAGCAGAGCCATGTATACATAATAAATAAATCTTAAAAAAAAAAAAAAGACTACAAATTGTCCGCCACCCCCCCCCCCCCACGCCCCTTTGTATGGCTTAGCCTTGCCTAGAACTTGTTACCTTAATCAGGCCGGCCTCACTGCCCCTGACTCCTGAGTGCTGGGATTAAAGGTGTGTGCCCGTCCTAAGTGCTGAGATGACAGGATGCACACCACCATGCCTAGTACTCACTTTAAGATTAGTAACAGTATTTAAACCTTTGAGTGGGTGACAGGATTAAATGAATAAAGCATTTAAAACACTGCCCAACACAAAATACTAAATGTTGACTTCTGTTTATATAAACCCTAATAAACAAACAGTCTTACTAGCCAGAGCAGATGAGATAATCCATAATGGAAGGGCACCCCAGGATAACAACAGGGAACTACTACAAGAAAGAGATGTTTTGTATGTGCTTTCTCAAGGTAGGCAATCTTCTGCATGACCTCAGTAGGTGGGGACAAGCAATGGGGAAAGCATTAAAGACATTTTGAGGGGCTGGAGAGATGGCTCAGTGATTAAAAGCAGCACTTGCTACTCTCCCAGAGGATGTGGGTTCTAGTCCTAACACCCATGTGGTGGCTTACAACCTCCTGCAACTCCAGTTCCAGGGGATACAGCGCCCTCTTCTGGCCTCCATCAACACCAAGCACACATGGTAAACAGGTATATGTAAGCAAAACACACACACACACACACACACACACACACACACACACACACCCCAAAACAACAACAACAACAAAAAAACAACAACACATTTTCAAAGGTACAATAATACTGTACAATAAGAAAAAAGAAACTCAAAATCAGGGGCATGGCTACACATCTGCTTCCCAAGACTGAGGTGAATGTTGGAGGATCAGGAGTTCAAGCTCACCCTCAGCTCCATAGTGAGTTCAAGGCCAGTCTGTCTCAAAAAAAAAGAAAAAAGAAAAGAAAGAAATTCAGAGGACTCTTCATTCAACTAGGCTGCCAGACTCAGAACCAAAAATCTGGCATAGCTATCTAGAAAGAAGAAAAACTACGTGCATCCTGCACAGACAGAACTTTTTTGGGGGGGGATGGGGGGCAGGATCTTATTATGGAGCTGAGGTTTGGCCTCAAATTCATGATCCTTCTGCTTCAGCCTCCTGAGGGCTGGACTACTGGTGCATGCCGCCAGCAGCTGACACAAGCTGAGGGAGAACTATTATATATAGCCCGAGAATGGTTGTTTATTCATATATACTGTAAGATACCCAGTAAGAGCTGGAGGTGTTTAACTCTGTTCTCACAATTTAACATCACACTCCAAGAGAATGAAATGAGGCTAAAATGGAAACTTTCCCTTAAAGACTCTCTTGCCCTCAGCATTAGCCTTCCCTACGACAGGTGAACCCCCAGAGTGTAACATCACAGAGCGATGCATGTGTGCATAACATGCTAACTGGGACAGTACGTGACACCCGTAGATGATAGTTACCAAGTACTCCCTGTGTTCCAGGCATCACTGCACATTTGTCATAGGGACTAATTAATCCTCAGCATCAACATATTAAGTATTTTATTGTCTCTACTTTTAAGTCAGGGAAATGAAGCTCAGAGATCAACTTGCCCAGCAAGCTAATAACAACTGCCCCAAAGCTGTCTGCTATCAAAGCTCATGTGTTCAATCATTAGACCAGTGGTCTCAACCTGTGGGTCACGAACCCTTTGGGGTTATCGAATGACCTTTCACAGGAGTTGCATGCCAGATATTTACATTATGATTCATAACACTAGCAAAATTACAGTTATGAAGTAGAAACGAAAATAGTTTTATGGTTGGGGTCACCACACCATGAGGAACTGTATTAAAGGGTCACAGCATTAGGAAGGTTGGGAATCACTGCATCAGACAGAGAAGACTCCCCAAATAAATGCTGCATAAACTTCTAGACTCTGGTAGGGACCTAACATTCATGGACAGTTTTGGTTGTCTAGAATATTTGAATTCTAGACAATAAAAATCTATGAGCTTTTGAAATTTTATTTGATTGCCGCTTGACACACATCTGCAGTTGCTCAAGTGAACAAGACCCCCCCCCCCCCCGCCCCCGTGACCCTGATGTCACAGCAGCTGGCAGTACTGGGGGGGGGGGGAGAGAAAAAGAGTGGGTAATTACTCTTGACAGGCATGGCGAGTGCAGTCTCTAGTCAACCACCAATCGACTTCAAGCTTTGTTTCAGTATTCTTGCTAGTCTCGAGGCTCATTTTATCTTTAAATACAACTGTATCTCCTCTTAATTTATGGTATGAAAAATGTGCAAGGTTAAGATGGACGCTGGGATCAGAAGTTGAGAACATCACCAAGAAACAGATCATAATGAACACTCCCTCAACAAGACTGTAGACAGACTGGTCATACCATCAGGAATGATTCTCATTAATAAGATTTTACTACAGTTTTGTTCCTTACCCATTAAACAGCTTTTTTCCATCTTCTTCCATATTATCACATAATCATTGGCTGGGTTTTCTTCTTCACTATTACCTATGAGGGGAAACAATCTGTGAGCCTGAGCTGATACATGGCAAGAAAAAGCAATTTCACAAATTTTATTTATAAATTCAGAAAAGGATTAATATATTACAACACAATGAAATCCCTACAACTTTTTGACATTGATATTTTAAAAAATAGGAAAAAAATATGACCCATGTTTCAGCTAAGAGCAACCAAAGATTCAGTCATTACAGAAGAATGAACCACAAACACAAGCATTAAAGGTTTTCTTCTGGCCCAGCAGTGGTGCGCACGCTCTTAACTCCAGCACTTGGGAGGCAGAAGCAGGTGAATCTCAGAGTTCGAGGCCAGCCTGGTCTACAGAGTGAGTTCCAGAACAGCCAGGGCTACACAGAGAAACCCTGTCTCAAAAAAACTAACTAAATAAATAAAAATTAAAAAATTAAATAAAGGTTTTCTTCCGAAAAAAAAAATGGATTTCTGTAAAGAATACACATTGTCTTTACATAACTTAAAACTGTCAAAACTGGCCGGGCGGTGGTGGCCCACGCCTTTAATCCCAGCACTCGGGAGGCAGAGCCAGGCGGATCTCTGCAAGTTTGAGGCCAGCCTGGGCTATAGAGCAAAGCTACACAGAGAAACCCTGTCTCAAAAAACCTAAAAAAAAAAAAAAACTGTCAAAACTGAAAACTCATGCTAACAAAAATATTCAAGTATCAAAAGCTAAACTTATTTATGCATAAGTGAAATGCATAATGGTTCGGAAAGGGTGTGAGACGACTCCTTTGTGTTAACTGGGTTTAAGTCCTATATGTAAGCAGCAAGTATCTTTAAAGGCAACATACTCTATACACAAGGATATTATATAAGCAAAGATAACTAGAGTTTATGAGTTCAATAAATTACACATGTAACCATTGTTTAGACTTCTGACACTTTATTGAGGATTTAATAAAACTTGACTGGTGTATTAGCTGCTGTGTAACAGGATGGCAAACTCTCCATTTTATCAGCCTAACAGGGAACACAAGAATTCCTCTTAAAAGAAACTTGCTTTGCAAAAATATGCACCCTTGATATGGGGCCCCAACCTCTCAGGTCCAGTCCCCTTAGAGTGGGTGGTTCCCTGAAGAATGACTGGCTGTCAAGATCCCAGAATGGCTGTCAAGAAAGGGAAATTGCTCTGCATTCTCCAAGGGGAAGAATTTGTTGTTTTATCTCTAAGGGACTGAGAGAAGAATGATGAGAGGGAAGGAGAAGAAAGGAAGAGCTGGCACAATAGGGCCAAGCTGGGACAGGGTGGGGGTGAGGCGGCCAGGCCAAGGACAGCTGAAGGTTGTCGGCATTACTGCAAAGCTAGGCCCTCCACCTCTATTCTGCTCCCTTTCTTTAGTTAGGTATACAAATCCACAATGCCCTGTGTGAATAGAGCCTTTCTGAAAATCAGAGGCTCCAAGTTTCACATCTGGGTGCACTTGGTGCAAATCAGTAGCACAGGGCAAGAAAGTCTGGCCCCACATGGCAGAAGGAGTTGCAAGACCATGAAACTCACAAATACTTTTAGGGAGAGCTTTTATCTACTATATATTATAGGCTGCAGGTCTGAGGCACTTACTCAGACAAACTACACCAAAACTGTATGGATGGAGCCTCAAATTCAAACAGTCCCCCAGTCTCCTATCCAAACCTGATTTCCAAAGTAACAACACCCCCAAAAACTAATTACAGTTAAAACCAAGTGATTTTAATTTAATTCTAGATGGCCCCTAAGATAACTAGTTAACCACCTCTATACTCAATAGCATGTAGGATATGTAACACATGGAATTTATGTTTAGCATCCTATATTTGATCTTGATCAAAAGGTCATGCGGGTGTGGTGGCACATGCCTTTAATGCCAGTGCTTTAAAGACTGAAGCAGGTGGATATCTGAGTACGAGGCCAGCCTGCTCTGTGGTACTAAGTATAGAACTGAATATTGAATCCAGGGCTGTGCTCATCAGGCAAGCAGTCTACCAATAAACACTGTATCCCTAGCCTACAACTTTCACTTTCATAAGAGAAGCTGAGGCTATGGCTCAGTGACAACGTGCTTGCCTAGCATGCTCAAGGCCCTCAGTTCAAATCCCAGCACCACAAATCTCAAAATGAGATCTGGCTCTGTATTTCATTATATCTAATAAGACACTAGAAGGACCTGTTTATTTATAAGGGGCACAAGAGCATGGAAGTTTTCAAAAAGCTATAGATATAGATTTAGAATCAGGGGGCTTGAGCCTATGGCCCAGGCTTATGAGCTGTGAGACCCTGGACAACTCACCTATGACTTGAGACCCCTACACTTCCTCCCTATAATGAATATAAAATCAGCTGTACTCCCAAAGATGTCACAAAGATCAATAAGAAAAATGTGTATAAATACATTATAAATGGACAAGAACTGTACATGTGTGATATTATTCTGGTTAGAGGAGAACCTAGTACTCAAACATTCCAGGAGCTCTGAGCAAGCTGTGAGGAAAGAGCCAGATCATCTACACAGAATTCAAAGAATTCTGAACTGTGTTGGGCATTTGGTTCTTCATTTTAGTTAAATAATATCTAGTTTTAACCAACAAGCTTCATAGGAGCTGAAGGGCATAATTAGATGAGAATTCTACTGGACTGGAAATTTCTTCTTACACACACACACACACACACACACACACACACACACAAAAGAGCTAAGAGCAATGGCTCAGTTGGTGTTTCTCCCAATCTTGCTAGTTAAATGTAAACAAAAGCAATCCCAAACTGCATCTATAATGACCAGCAGCAGAAGCAGGCACAGCAATCACCTTAGCATGCATTGGAGTACCCATTTCATCACTTGGGAATTCTAATTCTACTTTTATACCTCTACAGACAATAAATAGTGTTAATTGGGGAAAAAGTCTAACCTTCAACATAGATTTAATCCAGCACTTAGGAGGCAGAGCCAGGCAGATCTCTGTGAGTTCGAGGCTAGCCTGGTCTACAGAGTGAGCTCCAGGACAGGCTCCAAAACTACACAGAGAAACCCTGTCTTGAAAAACAAAAACAAGCCAGGCGGTGGTAGCGCACGCCTTTGATCCCAGCACTTGGGAGGCAGAGGCAGGCGGATCTCTGTGAGTTCTAGGCCAGCCTGGTCTCCAAAGTGAGTTCCAGGAAAGGCGCAAAGCTACACAGAGAAACCCTGTCTTGAAAAAGCCAAAAAAAAAAAAAAAAAAAAAAAAGCCAGAAAAAAAAAAACAAAAACAAAAAACAAACAAAAAAGAAATACTAGAAAATGGGCTGGAAAGATGGTTCAACAGTTAAGAGCACTTGCTGCTGTTCCAAAGGACCTGGCCTCAAATCTTAGCACCTACGCCTTCTTCTGGCTTCCAAGGGTACCCCCCCCCCCACACACACACAGATAAATAAATAAAGTTCTAAAAAAGAAGAAAGACAGAGACAGACAAGGAGAGAGTCTGACAGAGTAGACAATGGGCTGGAGAGATGACTTCAGTGGTTAACTGCCGTGGAACAATCTTTGTACACTGTAAATATGTATTACTCTTATTGGTTAAAAAAAGAGCTGACTTGTCAACAGCTGGACAGATAGAGGTTAGGGGAGACTTGCAGACAAAAAGAGAGCATGAAGAAGGGAGGAGTCTCAGAAGAGACACAGAGAAGCAAGATGAACTTGCCATGCTGAAAAAAGGTACCGCCATGAGGCAGAGCACAGATAAGAAATATTTGTTAATTTAAAATGTAAGAGCTAGTTAATAGGGGCTAGAGAGATGGCTCAGAGATTAAGCTCACTAGCTGCTCTTGGTCCTGAGTTCAATTCTCAGCAACCACATGGTGGCTCACAACCATCTACAATGAGATCTAGTGCCCTCTTCTGGGCAGAACACTGTATACATAATAAATTGATTAAAAAAAAGGGGGGGGTGCATAGAAATATGTGCAAGCAAAAAACCACCCATATAAACACACACACAAATAAAATAAAAAAGAGCTAGTTAATAACAAGTCTGAGCTATCAGTCGAGCATTTATAATTAATAAGTCTATGTGTGGTTATTTGGAAACTGGCTGGTGGGACAGAAAAGTCCACCTACAGTTAAGAGCAAAGGCTGTTCTTGCAAAGGACCCATGTTTGGTTCCCAAGTACCCGTGTCAGGTTGTTCATAAGTACCTGTAGTCTGTGGGCATTGCATTCACACTCACAAATCCCCACCCTAAATGCACACACATATATAACCACATAAATTAAAAATTTAAACAAGAAACACTAGACATTAGTTTTACAAGCACAGAGCTGCAATTTTAACAGGGAGGGAACATGTGGGGATGTTCACTGTACTCTACCAGACATCACTACTGCTGGAGTGTTTCAAACACATTTGCTCCGTCAGGTGTCAAAATGAGATAGGTGTCAGTGATATTTGAAAGAACAAAGTGGGGTCAGACTGCTCAGTAAGTGACTAGCCCATGCATGGCTAAGGAAATAGAGGCACCAAGGGCCAGTGTTTTACTGGTGTATTCCAGTGACCAAGGAACAGTTTACAGTGTTGTGCCTATGGTTTGAAATTACCGAACGATGAACCTACCTTTTTCCACAACTCACTTTTAGAACCGACCAAGCAGGAACAGTAGTAGAAGAGAAGCTCACAGAGATCCTCCTGCCTCTGCCTCCCGAGTGCTGGGATTAAAGGCGTGCGCCACCACCGCCCGGCGAGAAGCCCTTTTAATGCTTGATTTAAGTTCTTTAAAACAAAACATTTGGCCTAGTGTGGTTCTTCAGTACTGGCACCCCAGCACTCAGGAGGCTGGGTCAGGGAAAATGCCTTGACTTCATGGCCAGTTTTGGCTACATAGTTCTAAGGCCAGCCTGAACTACAGAATAAGTCCCTAACTCCAAAAACCAAAAGAAAAAAAAACTTTAAATATAAAGCTTAGATTTTAACAATTTTAAAATTCACCAAAATAAGCTAGACAGTGGTAGCACACTCCTTTAATCC